TGGCCCTCTCCTTTTGGAGACTTCAAGGCACCATCCTCATCACTGAAATCCCTCAAGATTTCAGTGGTGAGGAGGCCCAAACACAATGGTCCCGGAGCTCAACCGAAATGGCACAAAACAAAGGCCAAACAAGCCTTAAGAGGGGTCAAACAACCCCAAAGCTTAAAACACCCTTAACAAACTATTTAGAACACTCAAAAATAGAACTTTTATATGTTATATGTTAAGCTCAAAAATAGTTGCAAATATGGAAAAACAAGCTATGAAAACAAGGCTTAAAAGAGGTAAAAGCTCACCCTCGAAGCACAACAGCAAATCAGCAACTTTTTGGACCAAAAAAAAGGCTTCAAATCACCCCAAAAATCACCTCCAAGGACCTCAGCTCAATAAAGGGAGTAGAGAACTAGGTGTTTGTATGCAAAAGTGCAAAGAAAATGCACTTTTGAGCACAAACAAGCCCTAAACCTTAGAGAGAGAGGCAGAAAAAGTAGAGAGAGAGAGATTTTTTTGCTCCAAGTTGTATATCTCTTCCTCCTTCTTCTTTCCTATGTGAGAGAGCTTGATTGATATAGATATGTATCAATCTGCAGCTCCTCAGAACACCCACGTCCAGGTATGGGCTGGGGTATGGCCTAGAATAATAGCTGTCAGTTGTCTACAGAAATATCTGTTGAAAACCACACTTGGCCGGCTGGCCATCAAAGTGGCCGACCGGCAGTCAAATTGGCCGGCCGGCCATCACATTTGGCCGATGGCAACAGAACACAGCCGGTGGCCTCAAGCCATGGCCGGTGGGGTGCGGGGATGGCCCAAAAGCCATTCCCTGCCCTCCGAAGCAGAAAGACAAGTGTTTGGTGCAAAACCAAACACAAAACAGTCGAGTCGAGAGATCCTGAGGCAAGGCGCGTAGCCGAGGCCTCCAGGAACTCAAGACGAACACAAACAAGGATGATCACCGAATGTTCAAACGGTGACGTCCAAATCTTGAGGACGGTAAAAAATGGGGTGTCTACAATATGACATGATAAAATAAGCCTAAGAACATGCTGAAATGGACACAATATAGGCTAAAATGAGATGCTACTTCAAGGAGCATACAAAGCTAGTGTGTGTGATTTACACTACAAGTGTATGAGGCATGCAAGGGCCAACCAAACCAAGCAAAAACAGATCTAAGGCATGTTAAAACTATGCCAAAAATCTACTGAGATGGCCCAAAAACAGGCTAGAAACACATGCTCAAACATGAGACATACAAGACTAGTTTGCAAAATTTACACTACAAGTGTATAAACCATGCATGGAATGACCAAGATAGGCAAAAATAGTGGCATATGACAGAAAAATAACCACAAATACCAGTTAAGACATGGCCAACATGAACTTAACAAAGGTGCTCACATATAAGGCAAATATGACAAGTATTGACGACAACAATGAGAGGTGATGGCCCTCTCCTTCTTAGGACCTCAAAACACCACCCCTACCACTGAAATCCCTCTGGATTTCAGTGGTGAGAAGGCCAATACAAGGTGGTCTCAAAGCTCACAGAAAAGGCACAAAAATAGGCCAAACAGCGCCTAAGAGAGGGAGGACGACCCCCAACACCAAAATGACCTTAAACAAACATCTTAAGCACGAAAATACAAAACTTTTAACAGTTATACACTAAGCTTAAAATAGCATGCAAGATAGGCTAAAAGCTAGTGCAAAAATGGGGAATATAAAGCAATAGTGCTCACCCTTGAAGAACACTTCAAGAACAGTAACTCCAGCCCCCTCCTTCTGATCAAAACCAACTCAAAACTCCAAGAACAACCTCTCAACACCTCAATAACCAAGGTATAGTGTAACAGTAGGTGCTTTAGTGCAAAAATAAGAACAAAAACACACTTTTGAACACTAATACACACACAATCTAGAGAGAAGGGGAGATATAGAGAGAGAGTGGCATGTGTGATATATATCTCTGATATATATCTCTGATTTTTTGTTCAACCCCTCTAAAGGAGGAGGGAGGCCCTCTTTTATAGAATAAAAAAGGGCTTAAACTTCTTAGAGAAGCCAAGACAAAGGGTTCAAGCTTCCTTACGAAGCTAGAACAAAGGTTCAAGCTTCTTGGGGAAGCTAAGGAAAAGGTCCAAGCTTCTTGGGGAAGCTAAGGCGAAGGGTTCAAGCTTCCTCAAGAAGCTAGTGCAAAAGGGTGCAAAGGATGCAAAACCTCCATACACGTGCATGGATGATAGGTATGTGTGCTCCAGCTGGCACAGTTGGCATGCAAAATGCCAGAAAAAGGCAAAAAAGAAGTCCCGACCAGAAAATATGGCTGATTGACCAAACAAATGGCCAGCCAACCAAAAACAATGTCGACCGGCCTCACCAATGGCCGGCAGCAACAAAACATGGCCGGTAGCCTCAAGCCAAGGCCGGTGAGGTGTGGGGATGACCAACAAGCCATTCTCTGCCCTTAAAAGCAAAAACAAACAATTTCTTGGTCCATAACCAAGCACAGAACAAGCAAGTTAAGAAATCCTGAGACAAGGAGCGCGGCCGAGACCTTCAGGAACTCAAAACGAACACAAACACGGATGATGATCGAGTGTTCAGACGATGGCGTCCAAGTCTTGAGGACAGTCAAAAATGGGGTGTCTACAGTTGTCCCTCTTTGACAGAACTCGAAAGTCATAACAATGACGGGAGTGAATGTCAAAGCCCAGAGATGACCCATTTTTGAGAAGGCCGAAGATTTAGACAAGCATGCAAGATAGAAAGATATGTGCCCGAAGGCAGGGGCAAAATGCAAGAACAATGCATGGTGCCGAACAAAACTTATGATCATGCAAAGAAAGCTGTAACGAAGCAAATACATACAGTAAATGCAACAGTTTTAAGCAAGCCAAAAACGAAACTACATTACAATGCAGAAAGGATGTAAGAGAATTACGTAATTCTCGCTATGTTTGACGCGGAGAATACAATACTTGTGCGGTTCGTCTGGTCGTGTTAGCTTCAAATGAACCGTACATACAATACCGTTCCTGTCCGGTTCGTCTGGTCGTGCCAGCCTTAAATGAACCGTACATACAATATCGTGCCTGAAAAAGAAAGAGAACTTAATAGGTACAATATCGTTAGATACATGCATAGCAATGCAAGTGAAAAGTGCGTGACAATGCGAGTGAGAGGGTGCATGACAATGCAGGTGGAAGGGGTGCATAACAACGCAACCCGGGTGTGTGCATAACAATGCGATTTGAAACAGGTATAACAATGCTATGAAGGCACAAACACATATAAGTAAAGTATGCGCGACAATGTGTACAATGTGTGTAATAGACACTTGAACACATGTGAGTAAAGCGACACGCGACAACGCATGCAATGTGTATAAAAGAAACTTGAACACATATAAGTAAAGCAATACGCGACAACACATGCAATGTGTATAATGAGGAACTTGAAATGTACACATGTAAGTTAAGCATAGGTGGAAACGTACGCAATGTGTATGATGAGGAACTTGAAATGTACACATGTAAGTAAAGCATACATGGAAATGTACGCAATGTGTATGATGAGGAACTTGAAATGTACACATGTAAGTAAAGCATACGTGGAAACGTACACAATGCGTATGATGAGGAACTTGAAATGTACACATGTAAGTAAAGACACTTTCTTCATCATGTTGTTGGTCCATCTGCTCATTATTTTCTTCTTCATCACTTTCTTCATCATGTTGTTGGTCCATCTGCTCATTATTTTCTTCTTCATCACTTTCTTCATCATGTTGTTGGTCCATCTGCTCATTATTTTCTTCTTCATCACTTTCTTCATCATGTTGTTGGTCCATCTGCTCATTATTTTCTTCTTCATCACTTTCTTCATCATGTTGTTGGTCCATCTGCTCATTATTTTCTTCTTCATCACTTTCTTCATCATGTTGTTGGTCCATCTGCTCATTATTTTCTTCTTCATCACTTTCTTCATCATGTTGTTGGTCCATCTGCTCATTATTTTCTTCTTCATCACTTTCTTCATCATGTTGTTGGTCCATCTGCTCATTATTTTCTTCTTCATCACTTTCTTCATCATGTTGTTGGTCCATCTGCTCATTATTTTCTTCTTCATCACTTTCTTCATCATGTTGTTGGTCCATCTGCTCATTATTTTCTTCTTCATCACTTTCTTCATCATGTTGTTGGTCCATCTGCTCATTATTTTCTTCTTCATCACTTTCTTCATCATGTTGTTGGTCCATCTGCTCATTATTTTCTTCTTCATCACTTTCTTCATCATGTTGTTGGTCCATCTGCTCATTATTTTCTTCTTCATCACTTTCTTCATCATGTTGTTGGTCCATCTGCTCATTATTTTCTTCTTCATCACTTTCTTCATCATGTTGTTGGTCCATCTGCTCATTATTTTCTTCTTCATCACTTTCTTCATCATGTTGTTGGTCCATCTGCTCATTATTTTCTTCTTCATCACTTTCTTCATCATGTTGTTGGTCCATCTGCTCATTATTTTCTTCTTCATCACTTTCTTCATCATGTTGTTGGTCCATCTGCTCATTATTTTCTTCTTCATCACTTTCTTCATCATGTTGTTGGTCCATCTGCTCATTATTTTCTTCTTCATCACTTTCTTCATCATGTTGTTGGTCCATCTGCTCATTATTTTCTTCTTCATCACTTTCTTCATCATGTTGTTGGTCCATCTGCTCATTATTTTCTTCTTCATCACTTTCTTCATCATGTTGTTGGTCCATCTGCTCATTATTTTCTTCTTCATCACTTTCTTCATCATGTTGTTGGTCCATCTGCTCATTATTTTCTTCTTCATCACTTTCTTCATCATGTTGTTGGTCCATCTGCTCATTATTTTCTTCTTCATCACTTTCTTCATCATGTTGTTGGTCCATCTGCTCATTATTTTCTTCTTCATCACTTTCTTCATCATGTTGTTGGTCCATCTGCTCATTATTTTCTTCTTCATCACTTTCTTCATCATGTTGTTGGTCCATCTGCTCATTATTTTCTTCTTCATCACTTTCTTCATCATGTTGTTGGTCCATCTGCTCATTATTTTCTTCTTCATCACTTTCTTCATCATGTTGTTGGTCCATCTGCTCATTATTTTCTTCTTCATCACTTTCTTCATCATGTTGTTGGTCCATCTGCTCATTATTTTCTTCTTCATCACTTTCTTCATCATGTTGTTGGTCCATCTGCTCATTATTTTCTTCTTCATCACTTTCTTCATCATGTTGTTGGTCCATCTGCTCATTATTTTCTTCTTCATCACTTTCTTCATCATGTTGTTGGTCCATCTGCTCATTATTTTCTTCTTCATCACTTTCTTCATCATGTTGTTGGTCCATCTGCTCATTATTTTCTTCTTCATCACTTTCTTCATCATGTTGTTGGTCCATCTGCTCATTATTTTCTTCTTCATCACTTTCTTCATCATGTTGTTGGTCCATCTGCTCATTATTTTCTTCTTCATCACTTTCTTCATCATGTTGTTGGTCCATCTGCTCATTATTTTCTTCTTCATCACTTTCTTCATCATGTTGTTGGTCCATCTGCTCATTATTTTCTTCTTCATCACTTTCATCCTTGTTCTCTTCTTGTTGTTCATCTTCTTCTTTATCTTCTTGTTCACTGTCTTCTTCTTTTTGTTCTTTGTCTTCTGGTTCTATATCTTCACTTTCTTCACTGGTTTGTTCTTCTGTGCTGCTTGCTTGATGTTCTTGTGCATTGCTGGCTTCATATTCTTCTGTGTTGCCTTCTGCTTGTTCATTCCCTCCATCTTCAGATGGATCTTGTAATGTCTCCTTGAATATGACAATTGCCTTTTTTAATTCTTTCTTCGTCTTTTTGCCAAGACAGAACTCCTCTGATGGGTTTTTGACTAGCTGCTTGTTATCAATCTGTAACAGGATACTCTTTTATTACATAAATGTTACAAAATTCACTGAGAGAAAAAATCCAAATAAGGAAAATAAAATTCATCTAAATGATACTAATGGGAAACAAACTTCAGAGAAAATTGTATGGGCCAGACAAAATTAGAGACATGGAGTTAATTTTATGGGGCAGAGAAAATTATGAAACAAGCAACATAATTTAGATATCAGAGAAATTCAATCAAGGCATATAAGTTCATGTTTTACTATAATTGTGTCAGAGAAATTTGGATTCCAGAGAAAATTCATTAGAAGGGTAAAAATAAACAGTGTTTATCAAAGATGCAAGGCACATAAGTTATGGGCAGAGAAAATTACACACAATGAGATAAAATTTGATGGGCCAGAGAAAATTATGTGACAAAGAACATAATTCAGATATTAGAGAAAATGAATCAGGGCATATAAGTTAATGTGTTACAATTGTGGTCAGAGAAATTTGGATGGGAGAGAAAATTGATTACAATGGCAGAAATAGACCAGTGGTAAGCAAAGAAGAAAACATAAATTGATATTTCACAGAAAATTAATCTTAATCAATCAATGCACAAGGAGGGAAACAAAGCAGTGGTCAGAGAAATTTGGAATTTCACTGAGATTTCAGTAGCAATAGGAATCTAACCTGTCGAGGTGCAAGAGAGTGGACTGATGTCTTCTACAGCTGTTTCGTCAAGGTTTGCAGGTTCCACTTGGCACATCTTGGGAAGTCAGTTGTGTTACTGTCTTCCGAGTCAATGATAGTTGCATGTTCACATAGCCAATACTGTGATGAAAATGAAAGTACATAAAATTTTGTAAACGCACAAATTTGTAAGTATGATAACTGCAAATTTGAATGGATATTATCCTTACAAGCAATGCAATGACACACCCCGTAACTTTTTCTGGAGTTTTGTGCAATGCCATGATAGAATCAATCAATGTTGATGTGATTGCTTCCGGCCAATCATACTGTTTCATTGATTCAAGAGGTTCCACATACTTTATAAAAACCCAACCTATTGAATTCCCACTTGTTGCAAAAAATAGGGTGAGACACAAGTACAATGTAACAATGATTGCTACATCTTTGAAGTCAGTTGGTTGCTTGCCTTTCATTGCTTTGACCAAGGCATTTTTAAGAACAGGACCAGTGAGCCTTATGTCTTTTTGGAATCTTCTCCTGAGGAATGCAGATTTTGGCTTTTTAGAGTATCTTAATGACATGGCTCCTTTACCTCCTTCCAAACCAAAAATCAAGGTCATGTCATTTGTTGCAAAGGTCAGGTTCTTCTTCCTAATTGTGAATGCTTTTGTTTTTTCATTGTAACATTGGATTATGGCAACTACGTCATCATCAGATTTCCTAGATTTCTTTGGATCCATCCTTCCAGTGGCTAGAGCTTGAATCAAATACCAGAATGGGGTCTTTTGAAGCTCTAGAAGATGTTTTGAACTGAATTTAAGTGTTTGAAAGAAGGAGACGACAGATGAGAGGTTGGATCGGAATTGAATGTTGTAGTGAGCTCTCTTTCTGTGGAGTTTAACAGGTTTTTTCCCCCTTGAGCTTGAGTCTTTTGAAGTTGGGGTACTCATCTGGATGCTAGTTGCTTCATCAGCTTGGACTTGTGTGTTTTGGGAAGGAGTTTGTGGTGTTTTAGTGCTGGTTTTTGATCTTAGATGATAAGAGGACTGAGAGAGTTGTTGTTTCTTGCTTGGTGTTTCTAGTGTTTTGCTGCTGGTTTTTTATCCTAATCCATAAGAAGACTGAGAGAGTTTCTGTTTCTTGCTTGGTGTTTCCGGTGTTTCGCTGCTTTTACGTTTTGCCATTTCTAGACAATGATTAAAACATAGAGATGTCAACATTAAATCCCGGAGAAAAATGGACATGTCAAAGAAAATTACAGATAAGGGAGAACATTACAAAAAAGAGAAAATTACAGATGCCAGAGAAAATTACAGATAAGGGTAAATTACAGAAAATTGGACATGCTAGAGAAAATTGGACATTAAAAATTAAATGTCAGAGAAAATCAACACAGCATCATAAACATGGGAGAGAAATTTTGAATAATTGTTTAAATTACATATAAAAGTAAACATACCAGAGAAAATGAATGATAGAAAAAAGTAAATATGGCAAGCGAAAGAAAATTTCCATTCCACAATTAGCAAAGATAAAATAAACAAAGTGATGTAAACATGCCACTGAGAATTACACCATATTGAAATCAAGAATTGAACAAAATAAACATACCAGAGAAAAATGCACATTCTGGAGAAAATTACACATTCTTGAGGAAATTTCCAATCCAGAGAAAATTTCAATTCATAATATTAAAATGCAAGAGAAATTTACATACACAACCAGAGAAAATTAACCATGATAGAGACACTCAAGGGAGGAAAGTGGTGGGATGTGGTCAGAGAAAATTATAAATACCAGAGAAACTTAGACAGGGGAAGAGTGTAATAGACATTGCAGAGAAAGAGAAAATTATAAATACTAGAGAAACTTAGACAGGGGCAAGAGTGTAATAGACATTGCAGAGAAAGACACATATTCCAGAGAAATTTACAAAGTAGAGAAATTCATAGACAAAATGACAGAAACATGTTCAGGAATAAGA